TCAAACCCTTTTTCTGATCACGAAAGAATTTTTATACAATTTTGCTTTTTCTGGATATTTTAGAGGAAAAATTAGGAGATGAGCAACCAAACAGACAAGAAAAGTGGTAGGATTTCATGACAACTCCTCAGGACAGAGTCCCAGCCCTCATAGGAGAGACTTTCGGGTCAGGGATGCCAATTCCTACACAAAGTAAGATTTGTGTTTATAAAAATCGAGAGAGCACAAGGTGGCTTATCGTCACAGGGAACTTCTGTCTCACTTTTTCCAATCAGACTGGGGTGATTCAGGGCCTTGCCAAAGGATTAGCATTGATACAAGAATAACCTTCACAGTCAACATAAGACATTGCTCCCATTTCTCCACAGGACTCAGATGAAATTCAGGCATCTCTCAAAATGTATTTACTTATTTATTTATTCCAAGGAAAAAGAAAGGAAAGAAATGACAGTATTGGGAAGGAATTCAGAGCATGCAGATGGAGATCAGGGTTTTGAAGTATCTAGATCACTGAAGCTCAGGAATGACCTGCTTCACATGGTTCAGAAGTAACTTATAGGGCGCCTGGGTGGCTCAGTTGGTAAATCGACTGCCTTCGGCTCAGGTCATGATCCTGGAGTCCCGGGATCGAGTCCCGCATCGGGCTCCCTGCTCAGCAGGGAGTCTGCTTCTCCCTCTGACCCTCTTCCCTCTCGTGCTCTCTATCTCTCATTCTCTCTCTCTCAAATAAATAAATAAAATCTTTAAAAAAAAAGAAGTAACTTATAAAGTCAGAAGATCAACACACTCCTAGGTGCAGTGAACTACCTGTCAACTAGTTTATTTATTGGTAAGTTTATCCCCTAGTGGTGAGAATTTGCATTTACTTAGAAAAGGTGACCTATTTCAATCACAGGTCCTAAGAATCTACTCAACACACATGAAGTTGGAGATGCTCCCTTTGCTGGATGGCTTGATCTCATTTCTCAGGCAAGAACAAGCTCACCTTTTATTGAAAAAACATCCATTTGGGCTCAGTCGGACCACAGACTTCTGTGTGTCTCTCATCTTGGCCAAAGAAGTGTGAGTTTGAGCTTTTGGCTTGATAAAATGTATAGATCAAAGTCTACAGAATATATAACAGCATCGCACTCCCCATCCCACACACTCTGACCCCAGGTTAATGGACTCACACAGTTGCACCATTAAGACAGTCTTCCCAAGATACACAAATCACACACTGGCTTCCAGTTTTCCGGACCCAAATGAACAGCCTTTGGCACAGAGACAAAGTGCAAGAAAACCCACCTGTGTAAGTCCTTGCTCATTCAGTTGATGGTGGTCAAGATTAGAAACTCTGGAGTCCTTTTCCCCACCTGGACCTCATGGAGGTTCTCCTTACACCCCTTACAAATGCTTATTATTTCTGCATGGTGTGCAGTGACCAGTGTTGATGGGGTCAGTTTTATTGTCCAGGGTACAACATAATTTGTAAACATACAGGAGACATGGATTCCTGTTTAGAATTAGGAATACTTGTCCTTCAGTCTACAGGTAGTACAGGGAAACCTCAAACCCTTTTTCTGATCACCAAAGAATTTTTATACAATTTTGCTTTTTCTGGATATTTTAGAGGAAAAATTAGGAGATGAGCAACCAAACAGAAAAGGAGACTTTAAAGTTTTCATGCTAAGCTTCATAGGAAATAGTAACATTCTTTGAAATTCAAGCAATCTAAAGAATATTTAATAAAAATAACATTTTCAAAACTGACACCCGGTAAAAGAAACATGTCAGATGAATAATATTGAGTCGTATTTCCACAGTTTGAGTTTTCACATAGGATAATGCATAATGTGAATCTTTTTTTTTTTTTTAGTATAGTTGACACACACTGGTAATGCAATTTGTAATTTAAAATTTTAAGGAATAAATCTTTAAACTCACTTTAGGACGTATAATATTGTCTCATATTCATCCTTTTTGGTTTTGTCCTTATGTTTTTCATTTTCAGTGACTTAACTCTCTGAATTCATTCACTAGCAGGATTCACTAGGAGGGCTGGCATTTTCAAGAGTAAGATCCTGGACTGCATTGGCTAGTACTTTGAGAAAAGATCAAAGAAAAAAACCCACAAAAAGTGTAAATAAAATGCAGCTAGTAAAATATGGAACATGGGCTATTATGCTCCTGCTTCTATCACAATTTGTCATTAGCACCCAAGTCCTTCCACAGAGTTCAGGGTTTACTTTCAATACCTTTTTTACACCATATCTCTTCCAACATTGGTACAAAATTTTATTATTGGAGGATTTCCTAGAAGACATTCAGACTGAGCTTTCTTGTGTAATCATGCTTGGAACCGTGTGTATTTGTGGGTTTTTTTGTTTTTTTTTTCCCCAATTCATATGACTTTGGGTTTAAATTACCTGCGATCTAACAGAACTACAAACTCTATTCATTCAGTTTCTCCAGGATTTTATTTGCAGGACAGTGACTTTAGCTGTGGGAGGTAATTTAGAGTTGACACAATTCTCACAAACAACTGAATATGACATACGTCAGGCTGGCACATGTAGAATCATTAGGTTATGTCCCTATTTTAATGGTTGGTAAACTGATGCCCCAAGCAGCTCTGACCCCGCACCCTGTTCCACAGTGACTGTGGTTCACTGAAGACCCAAGAAAATGTCAGTCATAGATACAGGTGACTGTTAGACATTAAAAAGTTATCCCAGTTTTTGCTATTCTCACACACAGAATCTCTTTTGGAACTGCAGACTCATAGCTGTGGACGCCGAACATAAAAGCCAAGTGAAAGACACAACTTCTCACACAGAGCTAACAAAGAACCAGAACCCCTGACAGAAACTGGTCACACATGATGAGGAAGCCTCTTTATGGGAAGGGGTTTCCTGAGCATCAGTAACAAAAAGATAATGTAAAAGGAAACATTACAAAATGAAACATTGTTCATTCTGTCCCATCCTCTTAGGAAGTGCTGCCCTTAAGAAATCTCTTTGATTGCTATGGGATGTGTCTGTGTGTATGTGTCTGGCTGTGTGTGGACATAGCTCATATATACCACACGGTATGTGTGTCTATCTATCTATCTATCTATATCGGGGGGGGGAGGGGAAGAGAGAGAGAAGTATGACAGGATACACATCACATTGTAACAAATGGTTACCACAAATTTCATACTCACTGGCTGAAGCATAAAAATCTGTCTTCTCTTCTGTTCTCATCAACAGGACTATTAGTTCTCTACCTGTAAGTGAGAGATTCTTCTCTAGCTGTCAAGTTCTTCTCACTTTCATCTTCTCAAAGAGTATATTCATGACGTCCCAGGGCGAGTTTAATTTATTATTAAATCATTATTAAATTGTCTAAACGATTACCCTGGAAACTCAGATCTCAGAGACTCTTAGACTATCTACACTTTGTGCTGTGATTTGCAGAAGTGCTGCCAATCAGCTGGAGTGGGAGTGGGGCCTGTTTCCTCCTGGACATTAGCTGCGAGGAATCCAAGCAGGATGGCCATTCACCTGCCAGAAATGGACTCTGGACACTCGTGTCTATATCTTCAGGGTCTCTGGAGCTTTCCCAGAAAGGCAGGGTTATGAGCACTGTGTCCTGCCACAGATCCTGATTTTCTCAGATTCTTCTTCACACTCAAGCAGTAAGGAATTTGTCTCTGTGAGTTTTCTTCCAAGCACAGAAGACACTTTAAGCTACTTGGCTCACAGGAGAGGGACCTGCACCCTGCCTTTGGCTCTTTCCACTCTGCTACACCCACCAGGGGATTTGCATAGTGTCCCCTGGGGAGGACCTCCCCTTGTAAGTCTGAGATAAAGGTCAGCTCTGTGCTTGTCTCTACTAATTAGGTCTCATCAGCTCAACTTCTCAAAATGAGGTTCCCTTCTCAGCTCCTGGGGCTGCTGATGCTCTGGATGTCAGGTAAGAGCAGAGTGGGGATGATAAGGGAGAACTGGGTTGGAATGGTGGCTCTGGGGGCGCTTTGCTCTCCAAGTGTATCTTGTCCATGTGTTAGGTTGCCCTCCAATAAGGGCAATTTAATTTTTAGGCCTGTGAAAATTACGAAGAAACTAAAAGGAACAAAGAACAGTGCTTTAGTGAGATGCTGAAAAAGAACGAGGCCACTTTGCCTTGCAATATTGGGTAGCTTTGGAAATTGGATCTATTTAGAGTATGAATCAAATCACAAAATATGGTTTTGCCTAAAATATACAAAACTTAAAATCACAAAAATGACTTATAATGTTTCTAAATATCCTGTACTTATCTCTCATTATTTTAGGATCCAGTGGGGAGGTTGTGATGACACAGACCCCACTCTCCTTGCCCGTCACCCCTGGAGAGCCGGTCTCCATCTCCTGCAGGGCCAGTCAGAGCCTCCAGGACAGTTATGGAAACACATATTTGAGTTGGTTCCGGCAGAAGCCAGGCCAGTCTCCACAGAGCCTGATCTACTTGGTTTCCAACCGTTTCACTGGGGTCCCAGACAGGTTCAGTGGCAGCGGGTCAGGGACGGATTTCACCCTGAGAATCAGCAGGGTGGAGGCTAACGATACGGGAGTGTATTACTGCGGGCAAAGTACACATGATCCTAGCACAGTGGTTCAGCCCCGAACACAAACCTCTCTGTTTGGCTGTCACCACTCTGCACATGTGTTGCTTGAGTGGGGAGCAGGCCCAGCAGAGTCTCTGAGCGGGCGTGAGTGGCAGATGCTGGAGAATCAGGGCAGTAACGTGCAGCTGAGTGCTCTGGACCATGTTATGGCCCCTCGGCTGCAACAGCCCCTAGAGGGGCAGAACCAGCTCCAGAACGGCCGTGATCAACCTGCTGTGTGAGCAATAAGCTGGAAGGGAGAGCTGACCTGAACCTCATCCCGACCCTCCCGGCCTCCAGTGCGCTGGTCAATTACATTTAGTCAGCCCGAGAGTCAGAAATGTGAGGCATATTGGTGACAACACAATCACATACATTTTGGAGCTAACAGGTTTTGCTACTTTTTCAATAGGATAATATTTGATATCATTCAGAATTTATTATTGCTTATTTTCCCACTCCTTGAACTTCTTCTTTCCCAGTTACACTAACCGCTCTTGCACTATGTTCCCTAGATAGCATTCTATACATGATATCCCCACAGGAAATATGGCTGAGAACGATTAGTAAAATTTTGTTCTTCAAGCACCAAATAGACTTTTTCAAATTCATAACAGATATAAGCTCCTAATCCTATAAAGAAGATGTGGTCTACATATACAATGGAATTTTACTGAGCCAGAAAAGAATGAAATCTTGCCATTTGCGACAACATGGATGGACCATCAGGGTATTATGCGAGGAGAAATAAGTCAGACAGGGAAAGGCAAACCCATATGATTTCATTTATGTGTGCGCTCAAAAACATGAAGCAAAACAAACAAAAGCAGAAAAGCCCCATGAATACATACAGAGTCCAAACTGGTGGTTGCCTGAGGGGAAGGGGACAGTGGGGAAGGCAAAATGGGTGAAGGGGATTAGGAGGTACAGGCTTCCAGGTATGGCATAACTAAGTCACAGGGAACATAGTCAACGGTGAAGAGTGTTGTGTGGGGAGAGACGGTAGCTACACTTGTGATGAGCATAGAATAGCATACGCATATGTCAAAAAAGAATTATGAGAATTCTTCAGGGAATTTAGAATCTCAGTTTTGAAAACTGCTACAGCAATGTAAACTAAGTATCCACAGTCTTAGAAGTAAATATTAAATTTAAATATTGTCACATTTGAGGGAAAAGAGCACTGTTTTATATGAAGCTTCAAACAAAACAATCTGTAGTAAGACAATTTTAAGATTATTTTCTTTGTAATTGAAGAGACAGTGATAGAGTGAGTGCATTACACAGGTGTTTTGAGGTATGCAAATTATGGAGCTACTTTCAGTTTCGTGTATTATATCCACATATTGCAAGAAATGTCAGAAGAAACATTAAAATATCATTGTATACATTTATATCTGACATTAAATTCAGATTTACACAAAACTGATTTGTGTGAAGAGTTAAGTCATTTTTCAAAAAATGGTTCATCAGGTCTAGAAATATTAAAATTCATATTTCAAAATAATTTATCAGAAAGGCATCATAATGCTGTCGCAGACTATAAAATATTCCTAACAGCTCAAGTTTGGGGTTTTTTTTGCATCAGAAAAAAAAAGCCTTCTCAAAGTTAAAAATTTTCGAAAAATATTTGAGGTCTTGTATTGGCCAAAAGAGACTGATGTCATTTTCAATTATGTATGGAAATTGAATTTGCTAAAAGTACAAATGTTGATGCCATAATAAATGAAATTGCAGAAAAGCAATCTAGAAAAATCTTATAATCAGTAAAATATCCAATTAATAAAGTCTTAATCATCTATTATACATACATATTTATTGTACTATATAAAATTATAATACACAAATATTATTCTTGCAAGTCTATCTGTTTGTAAGTTTACTACAAGTTTATTGGAACATTTGCAAATTTATTGCCAGTATTATTTTGCCAGTTCTAACACACAAATGTCATTTTTGCAAATACTTACTTGTCTTTATTTGCTCTAGCCCTGTGGGTCTGAGAACTCAAGCGCTGCTGGCCACCAGAGCCAGGTTGTCAAGGGGTACTGGTCTGGATGGCAGCCATAAAACCCGGACGCCAGACGGGTGCACCAGCTCTTTCCAGGGAGACACCAGGGACCTGGAGCTGGGCAGAGAGAAAATGCAGAGTGCAAACACAGGCTTCCCTGATTTCCAGGGAGGAATGTAGTCAGCCCCTGGATGTGTTCCGAATTAGAAGCCTAACCCTCAGGCAGCAGCTTTTAAGAAATGAAAATAGGCCTCTTTCAGGGTAAGACTGGGAGGTGGGCCGTTCCGGCTGCTCCCTGTTTCTTTGTCTACTATTGTTTTGGGGGTCTCTGTGCACACCCCTCTGGCTTCCAGATGGAGGTGTTTGGGGGACGGTTCCTCAGGTGGAAGTCTTACAAGTTGGGGCACTGGAAGTTGGGTCCAAACCCTTCACTCTTCAGGGAGAAGCAGGTATTTATAAGTTCCCTTCCAATCATATATTGTGCGTTGGGGGTGGAGTTTATGGCAAGAATGTGTCCCAGCTTTGTGCATCTGTTTCAGTGTGGGTATTTCCTCTTTAACCCAATGTGTAGGAGTCCCTCAGCTAGTTTCTGGATTTTTTACAGTGGGAGTTGTCCCATGTGTAGCTGTAGATTCCATGTGCCCATGGGAGGAGGTGAATTCAGAAGCCTCCTATACCACCATCTTGGAACAGAACTTCTTTTTCTTTGGATTCTTACAGAAGAAGTTTGGATCATAGACTTTAAATGTTTCCTCTTTTTTTTGTTTGAGGGTAGTTGACAAACAATGCTATATACTATTTCAGGTGTACAACATAGTGATTCAACAAGTTTATACATTATTCTATGCTCACATCTGTCACCATACAATGCTTTACAATATCACTGACTTGATTCCTTATGCTGTAAAAATATTAAATAAATAAATAAATATTTCTTCTTTCTGAATATAGGCATTTAATGCTATTTATTTCCTTCTAAGTATTGTTTAACCTCCCACAAATTTTGACACGCTTATCATTTAGCTGTATTTGGTATTATCCGATTATGTAATATTCACTTATAATTATTACAATATATTATTCTGTCCACACGTTATATAGAAAGGTATTCCATCATATGTGAGGATTTTGTGAATAATTTATTGTTACTGCTTCTAACTTAATTATTTTGTTGTCAAAGAACATTTTCTGTAAAATTTCCACACGTTTAGGGTTACTTAGACTTGTTTTATGGCACAGGGAATGGTTCATCTTGGCAAATGTTCAAGGTGCTCTCCACAAGGATACACATTTTTCCACTTGTGCTTTACTGTTCTTTAGCAATTAATTCAAGTTGGTTGGTAATGTTGCTTATGTCTTCTATTCCCTAATGGTTTTCATCTTGTTCTATCAAGAGCCCATAGAGCTGTTCTGTCAAGTGTGTAAGATATTTAAATTTAACTACATTTATGGAAATTGGCAAACACTACAAACCAGAACTTGTATTTTTCTGGAGAGCTGGTTGTCAGACATTGACTAACACAATAATGGTACGATGTAGGCTGTAACTGTTTTGTCAGAGTTCCCTTTTTTTCTAGTTCTACCACCACTTTATCTCTACCAAAAAGCTTTTTATGTTGATGAAGCCCCAATAGTTCATTTTTGCCTTTGATTCCCTTGCCTTTGGAGACGTGTCTAGGAAGAAGTTGCTGCGGCCAAGGTCACGGAGATTACTGCCTGTGTTTTCCTCTAGGATTTTGATTTTGATGGACTCCTGTCTCACATTTAGGTCTTTCATCCATTTTGAGTTTATTTTTGTGTATGGGCTAAGAAAATGGTCCAGTTTCATTCTGCATGTGGCTGTCCAGTATTCCCAACACCATTGGTTGAAAAGACTGTCTTTTTTCCATTAGATATTCTCTCTTGCTTTGTTGAAGATGAGTTGACCATAGAGTTGAGGGTCGATTTCTGGCCTCTCTATTCGGATCCATTGATCTATGTGTCTGTTTTTGTGCCAGTACCATACTGTCTTGATGATGACAGCTTTGTAATAGAGCTTGAAGTCCGGAATTGTGATGCCGCCAGCTTTGCTTTTCTTTTTCAACATTCCTTTGGTTATTCGGGGTCTTTTCTGGTTCCATACAAATTTTAGGATTATTTGTTCCAGAGAAAGATGCACATCAGCTGGGTGTTGGTGAGGAGGTCCTGGCTTGTAAGTCTCTGTGGTCCTTCCACCTGCATAAGTTAGGCGGGCATAGGAGAGGGAAGGTTCTCGGTGCTTTTGTGAGGTGTGTGTATCTCTGGACCAGGGCATCATTTACATGTTCCTGTCCAGACAGCTTAATGCAATCCCATTAGCAAAGAAAGGGGCAGTGCAGGAGGTGAATTTCCTCTGTGGTGAATTCCCTCTGTGATAAGAATCTGCTGTACATAATTTCCATCAGAAAATCCCAACCCCCACAGGTCTGCCTCCTCTTTCCCCGGCAGCTGCTGAACTGAGACCCTGTCCATTCATTAAGGTCTCTGCAAATACCTCTGAACCCCCAAAGCTAGGGAAACTAGAAGCCCAGTGTGTGATCTGGAGCCTAGATATACTCAAGGATGTTCCTCGAATGATAGGCACTGGTTCCACCTAAAGAGAACCTGCCCATAAGGCTGATCCAAAATACCTCTCGTCTGAAACTGAAGGACATGCAGCTGTTGGCTCATTAGCACAATACATTTAGCTCTCTACCCCATGCTGGTTTCAAAAGGATCCTAAATTTTGAGGAGCTAGAATATATTTTCCATTAATTTCCACTCTAATTTTTATATTTCCTTCATTCTACCTGCTTGGATTTTGTTTGCTCTTTATTTTCTAGGTTCTTAGGGTAGAAGCTTAGGTCATTGGTTGGAAATGGTTCTTTCTTTTCTAATTCAGGCATTTTTCAAATAACATTTCTAATATTATTTGTTTATCATTTTATTACAAATTTAACACTAGGCTAAGGGAAACATTGGCTATTTCT